ATAATATAACTCAAATTATATTTTAATAATATAATTTATTTTAAAACAAGTAATGTTAAAACTGTTACAGTTGATTATAAAATGATTTTAAAATATTTTCTTTTTGATTTTAAAATATTTTCTTTCAAATTTAAAGAAAATTGATTACAGTATGAATTATATCACTAAAATATTCAGTATCCTTCATTAAATATTATCTCTCACAAATGTTTATTTATGAATTAAATGTTTGGAAAAAAACATTTAACCCAAGTTATTAAATATCTCAATAATATAATTAATATTTTGTAATATTTAAAATAATATTAAATATAATTATTGTTACAAATTAGTATTTAATATTGTCAACAAATTTTGTAGATGCTCAAAGGGAGCATATGCAGATAAAAAACGTTCCACACAAATGTGCACCACATGTTTGTAATAATTAAAGGTCATGCCACCTTCTACCTCCTAAACGCAGGTCAAATTTAACTTTTTTCAAGTCAAACGTACAACCATTTTATGCACGCACACACATGTTTTTTTGGTTACTTGTACTCTTATGGTCGGTTGAATTGACCATCTCACCCTCGGCTTTCTATAAAATCCCTAATTTCATTCTTCTTTCAATTATCAAACTTCCAACTTAGATTTCCTCAATTTACATAAATGGCTGCTTCATCTTTAGCTTTTCCATCTCTCCACCACCTGAATCTCTCATCGGATATACCCAAACGTCAACGCGCCACCAGCGTCACCCTCATCACCGCCGTCACCAGAGACTCTGTTCCACCGCTTTCTGCCACATCTGCTGATATAGCTCCCACCGTCAGCGGCAACTCCCCCACCAATCTCCCCCTCCGGCAAATCCCTGGCTCCCATGGCATTCCTTTCTTTCAACCACTTAAAGATCGATTTGAGTACTTCTATGGCGCCGGCGGCAGGGATGAGTTCTTCAAGTCTCGAGTCCAGAAATTTCAGTCAACGGTTTTCCGTACCAATATGCCACCTGGCCCTTTCATCTCTACTAACCCCAATGTCGTCGTTCTTCTTGATGCAAAAAGTTTTCCGACGCTTTTTGATGTTTCCAAGGTCGAAAAGAAAGATTTGTTCACCGGCACGTATATGCCGTCGACTGAACTCACCGGCGGTTACCGTGTTCTCTCGTATCTTGATCCATCGGAGCCCAAACATGCTCTGTTAAAAAATCTCATCTTTTTTATGCTCAAATCTTCACGCACCAGAATCATGCCGGAATTTGAAACAACTTATACTGAACTCTTCGATGAACTCGAAGCAGAGTTGGCCCAAAAGGGTAAAGCTCTGTTTAACGACGCCGGAGAACAGGCGGCGTTCCGGTTTCTTGGTCGGGCATATATGGAAACAAATCCGGAAGGAACAAAGATCGGAAAAGATGGTCCGAAACTAATTAGCACCTGGGTTTTATTCAATCTCGGGCCGTTGCTCCGCCTTGGACTTCCTTGGTTCGTGGAGGAGCCTCTCCTCCATACTTTCCGGCTGCCACCGGTCCTCATAAAGAAAAACTATCAGAAACTCTACGAGTTCTTCGAATCCTATTCATCTCCGATTCTCGAACAAGCTGAAGCTTTAGGGATTTCAAAAGAAGAAGCGGTTCACAACATCTTGTTCACCGTGTGTTTCAATACTTTTGGGGGTATCAAGATTTTGTTTCCCAATACTCTAAAATGGCTCGGCCGTGCCGGTACGAGTTTGCATACCCAGTTGGCGGAGGAGATCAGAGGTGCGATTAAGACCCACGGTGGAGGGAAGGTGACGATGGCGGCGATGGAACAGATGCCGTTGATGAAGTCCGTCGTCTACGAGTCTCTCCGGATCGAACCTCCGGTGGCACTGCAATACGGGAAAGCCAAACGCGACTTGACGATCGAGTCACATGACGCAGCTTTCAAAGTCAAAGAAGGAGAAATGTTGTTTGGATACCAACCATTTGCGACCAAGGATCCAAAGGTATTTGACCGGCCGGAAGAATTTGTGCCGGATCGGTTTGTTGGAGATGGAGAGGAGCTTTTGAAGTACGTGGCGTGGTCTAACGGACCTGAGACAGAAGGACCGACGGCCGGAAACAAGCAGTGTGCAGGAAAAGACTTCGTTGTGTTGATTACTCGGTTGTTCGTCGTCGAACTCTTCCGGCGGTATGATTCTTTCGATATCGAGGTGGGTGCATCTCCGTTAGGTGCCAAAGTCACATTAACGTCTCTCAAGCGAGCTCGTGTGTGATTTCATCCACCGGACCAGATCGCCAGTGATTTTCTTAAAAGTTTCCGGTCGGCGAGGATAACTTGGGAAATATAAATTTGTTTTTGACGTCCATGTTCAAAAAATGTATTTATGTTTGTTTGTGACAAACAAGCTTTTAGTTGCTAGAAACTATTGTAATATTTTTATAACGATGAAACCTGAACATATTTGTTACTATGTTTATTAGGGGTTGTTTGTTTACTTCTTAATAGTTTCATTAAAAGACAACCTATAAATCGTTAAGAGATGAATCTTATTTTGAAAAAAATGTCTGTCTCTTAATGGTTCTAAAATCCTCTAAATGATTTTATATCATGTATCTCTCTTAACCATTAAGAGCACTGATTTCATTTAACACAATTACCAAACAATTATATTTCATTTTACACTATATCATGAGAGTCTATTAATCATTCTGATCACTTAATCATTCTGCACCAAACCATTCAACAATTACCAAACAGCCCCTTAGATTTGATTTTAAGAATTTTTTTAACAATTAAATAACGAAATAATTCTACTATGTGCAACAAGCTTGTAATATTGATCTGTTGAAATGTTTCAGATAAAAAAAAGACAAAATCTATGTACGTTTAAAAAGCGATTTTTGTTGTTGTTGTAGTTGTGAATCATAATTGTTAAAGGACGACTGTTTGATTTAAACTTGTATAAAAATGACGACACATACATCTTCGCAACGGGCAAGGGTGACACTAGTATTTGAAAAACGAAAGAGGACCTTTTTCGAGTCCCATAAGTTGACCGTCGTCAACTATTGATACTTAAAAAGGGGCATGTTTCGAAGAGATTGATTAAGCCACAACGAAGAGCTTATGTGACATGATTTGCAAGGCAATGACGACAAACGATGCTAATTAAGCAATTGTACTATTATATGCTATACAAACCTACTGATTAATCAATTGCCATAACTGAAGTCCACACAACCAACAAACATTGATGACAAGCTCTAAAACTTGCGAATCTTGAAATTAATACAAACTAGTGCTCGGCACCGTGCGTTGCACGGTGATCATAGCAGATGTCAAGTAATATACAAAAAATTGTGAACCACATCAATATCCCTATACTTCAAAATTGAAAATACTAAATTTTCATAGTACATTTGTAATCTTTCCAATATTTCAAGACATCCTTCTCGTTTCATATACTTAACTGTTTTTCAAGAATTTTTTTTCTCATTAATATGGATTAAAATTCAAGTCAAATTCAACTACAATTAATGATTTGAAAATATTAAATTCTAATTTGTGACATCAATATCTTAGGAGAGTCAACCAAATAAGTTAAGCACCATGAGTTTAGAGAATCATTCAAGGGGAGTCAGCTCTGTGAATTGTCACAGAGACATCCCAATCTTGCTTTATAAATCTATCATTCAGTGTCAATCGTTGATAATTGTGGTTCTTACTTTTAAATATAGAAAGAACAAAGATTATATATATAATTAATTTTTAATATTGATTAACCCTTCTGACAAAAGGAGAGTTAGCCAAAATGAATCAACCTCGTGTTCGGAGGGTGCCAAAGTGCTCTAGCCACAGGTGTTAGAAGAACCAACCAAAAGAAACCAACCTCATGAGTTGTCACAAAGGCATCTGGACCTCATTTTACATATCCAACATTTTTGTCAATCTTTCAACTCTTTATCAGTGTGGATATATAAAACTCAATCATAATTTAAGATTGAAGAATATTCAATTATTAGGGTGTCGCATCAACGGTTCCGCTTCTTACTTTCAAAAACATATTAAAATTATCTCTTCAATTAATATTTAGTATAGATTAATTTTTTTAATAAAAAAGGGTTGGCCAAAATGAGTCGACCGCATATGTTTAAAAGTTCAATCAAAATGATCCAATCACGTGACCAATGTGGGATATCTCAAACTCAACCATAATTCACCAATACCTTAATACTCAATTATCATGATGTCACCTCAATACTCTTGGTTCTTCCTTTAATATATATACAGATTCACCGACACCTCAATACTCAATTCTCATGATATCACCTCAATACTCGTGGTTTTTCCTTTAATATATATATATATATACCCAATGAGGCAAACTCCATGAATCGACACAAATGCACCAATCCATATGCCACCTCATCACCACAACGTTTTAAATTTTATAATCTTCATGGTGTCATCTCATCACCCCAAGGTTATATATATATATATATATATATATATATATATATATATTGTAATATTCGGGTTATTTTATTA